GATTCATCAGTCAGAAGTCAACAACCAGATCAACCAATCAGATCGACCAATCAGATCAACAACCACAGTATAACTGAATACCATCCACTGACGTGATACAACTCACTTTGACTCTGAAAATGACTACCGCACAAACTCCTTCAAAATCGCTCAAAAAACCGCTTTTGAGGTAAAACGACGACTATATACCACAGGTAAGGTAATTAAACGTTTATTTATCATTGATTTATGTACATAGTTAGCGACATATCGCTATAGGTGAGGCAAACGGTAAATCCAGCACATTTACTATAAAATAACAATCGGCTACACAAACAGATTGTGCGGGCTCCCTGTGATTGTTCTTGCAAACAGGCATCACCCTTCAATTAAATTTACGGCTGAAATATCTGATAAAGAGATTAACTTTCTGGATACAACTGTTTACAAAGGCGAGAGATTTCACAACCAAGGAATCCTTGACATCCGCACACATTTTAAACCTACAGAGACTTTTCAATACACGCATTTCTCTTCCTTTGTGACATGATTAACTACAAATGTAGTTTCTTTTGACATTTTTTGCGAAAACTTTTTTCTTTCTGCACGTTCCATGGCGTGCAAGTGTTTTTCTTTACCACTACTTTCCAACTGCAACTCTTGTTACATGGTTAATTGCCAATTAAGTTTTTCTTCACATTTTCTGCGAACACTTACTTCTTTCTGCACGGTTCTTGGCTTGAGACAAAAACATACGCAGGCTTTTTTCCGAACATAAGAATGACTTTACACGCAAGATTATTTTCGAAATATCAAAACTCTTACCATAAACATTCTTTATAAAGCTCTGTTACTAATACATCAACGGAAGACAGCCGCAAGCGATAAAAAATACCAGCATCGAATTACTATTGAAATACGTGTCTTACCGCAAATTTTCTGCGAATAAACTTACCACGCAAATTTTCTGCAAAAAATCAACCAGGCGTTCCAGTCTTGAAATGTCACGTGATATCAACTTTCCCATGATGCCCTGAGGCCGACGTGTCACACAATTTGTCACATCTCTGGTTGTATTGAAGACGTCTGCTCGTAGGCAAATCTCTGGAAACTTGGTTGGGTTTTTCTTTATCGATCGTTTCTTTCTTTCCGTCGTTCTTTATCAGCTACAATGGATCCAAATTTGCTACGCGAGTGCGCGCAGTGTTTGTTGGAGACAGCGGACTTTATCCGTAACCGGACCGCTGCTGTAACGTCCACAACGCAGACAACAACAACAACAACCTCGAGCTTGACAACCGCGCAACCTCAACCAAACAGCGCGACTGTTTGGCTACCGGCCGCCAGCTCCGTCACGAGCTCCTCGAAATCCTCGTGCAAATAGTCGGGGAACACGCCGCTTGCCCTACACAAACGCAGCCGGACCCACCGAACGAATATCATCATTCGTTGATAGCCTACCTCAGCATATAGCTAAGTCACAAAAGTCCTATCTTAAGGACACAAATGACTTTGTTAACTTCATAGAAAGGAGACAACTCCCAGGGGACGTTTTCCTAGTCTTCTTAGACGTTGCTAGCCTGTACACAAATATCCCACAGGAAGAGGGAATAAACACAGTATGCAAAGCATACCAGGCTTTCTATGGGGAACACACCCCTATCCCCACCCAATCCCTCAGAAGAATCCTTAAACTTATTCTTCAGAGAACTCATTTGAATTCAACGGCAAAAACTATCTCCAAACACACGGAACCGCAATTGGTACAAAGATGGCAGTCACCTTTGCCAACATTTTTATGTCGGCGGTAGAGACAAAAATACTGAACCTCAGCAAAACTAAACCTCTTGAGTGGAAAAGATACATTGACGACATTTTCGCATTGTGGAGAACTGATAGAAAGGAGATAGATGAATTTATTGCTCCACAGGGAGCCCACACAATGTGTTTGTATAGCCGATTGTTATTTTATAGTAAATGTACTGGATTTACCGTTTGCTTCACCTATAGCGATATATCGCTAACTATGTATAAAAATCAATGATAAATAAACGTTGAATTACCTTACCTGTGGTATATAGTCGTCGTTTTACCTCAAAAGGGTTTTTTGAGCGAGTTGGATTTCGCCGTTGACTGTTCCTTATATTATTATAAGGAACAGTCAACGGCGAATTCAAACTCTGTAACTGTTTTAGTGTTTGCCGTTGTACTGAAAGTACGTCGAAGTCAAACAGAGGTTGAGTAGGTCCATAATGTCGTCTGTAGGTAGTGGTAGTTCAACAATAGAGTTCTTAATAGCGTTCTCAGTACTTTCTAGCGCCAGTTGAAGTCACGGCATACTGGTGAACAGTGATTTCACGTCAAAGGACACTAGTTTGTGGTCGTCCGGTATCTGTATTGTCTTAATGGCGTCAATAAAGTTCTCAGTAGACTGTAGTTTATGTCTAGATTCGTCAGTCAGAAGTCAACAACCAGATCAACCAATCAGATCGACCAATCAGATCAACAACCACAGTATAACTGAATACCATCAACTGACGTGATACAACTCACTTTGACTCTGAAAATGACTACCGCACAAACTCCTTCAAAATCGCTCAAAAAACCGCTTTTGAGGTAAAACGACGACTATATACCACAGGTAAGGTAATTAAACGTTTATTTATCATTGATTTATGTACATAGTTAGCGACATATCGCTATAGGTGAGGCAAACGGTAAATCCAGCACATTTACTATAAAATAACAATCGGCTACACAAACAGATTGTGCGGGCTCCCTGTGATTGCTCTTGCAAACAGGCATCACCCTTCAGTTAAATTTACGGCTGAAATATCTGATAAAGAGATTAACTTTCTGGATACAACTGTTTACAAAGGCGAGAGATTTCACAACCAAGGAATCCTTGACATCCGCACACATTTTAAACCTACAGAGACTTTTCAATACACGCATTTCTCTTCCTGTAACCCTCACGGGGTCAGAAAAGGTCTCATAAAGGGCGAAGCCCTTAGACTTCTGAAGAACTAACTCCTAAGCTAAATCCTTCTATGAGAAGATCTACAACTACAAAAAACGCCTTCGCACTAGAGGTTACCCTCACAATCTCATAGAAAAAATCACCTCTGAGGTTAAATTTACCGAACGGAAGTCAGCTTTACAAAAGAACAATGAAGTGCGAAAGAAAATTCTGCCTTTCGTTACCACATACCACCCTGCTTTGCCGAACCTTAAATACATTTTAATGAGCAAATGGCACTTAATTCAAGATCAACCACTACTGAGAGAAATATACAACGAGCCTCCCGTCATTTCATATAAACGAGCAAAATCGCTGGGAGATATCCTCGTTAGAGTAAAACTATACGGTCACGTATCACACTATCACGAGCTTATGAGTCGTGTTTGGCCTGTCAACACCTTTCACCCTCGGTACAATACGTAGTCCGCCACATCATCACTCGAATCTTGCTCTAGTCTCCTAGAGAGGTCGATGAGATGTAGACGAAGATTCACCAAAAAATCAGCAGTAGAGCTCATTTTCGATTTCACTACGTGAACACGGCCGGTCTAGGTCGAGGGAAGCGATCCGAAGGCATGGTGGGATAGATCACGTGACTGGAACGCCTGGTTGATTTTTTGCAGAAAATTTGCGTGGTAAGTTAATTCGCAGAAAATTTGCGGTAAGGCATGTATTTCAATAGTAATTCGATGCTGGTATTTTTTATCGCTTGCGGGTGTCTTGTTTATGGTAAGAGTTTTGATATTTCGAAAATAATCTTGCGTGTAAAGTCATTCTTATGTTCGGAAAATAGCCTGCGTATGTTTTTGTCTCAAGCCAAGAACCGTGCAGAAAGAAGTAAGTTTTAGCAGAAAATGTGAAGAAAAACTTAATTGGCAATTAACCATGTATCAAGAGTTGCAATTGGAAAGTAATGGTAAAGAAAAACACTTGTACGCCATGGAACGTGCAGAAAGAAAAAAGTTTTCGCAAAAAATGTCAAAAGAAACTACATTAGCAATTAATCATGCCACAAAAGTTACAGTTCGAAAGTCATCTTAAAAAAAAGTTTGCATTATTAATTTTGACCCTAATAACGCGCCATAAAATATATCGGGACATTTGATTTTAGTCAAGGCCATGTGACCAAGAATCAACCAATGGCAGTCCCTGTTTAGTTGAGTGAAAGTCTAGGAATATAAATTGATGGTGTATTGCTTGCAGCTTCCAAACATGGTGAGCACCAACGGGTTACGAGGAATTAGCCGGGGGATTGGAGCCAATATTTTGAATGAATAATAAATAGAGGATATTACATGGCCGCCCGGAGATACGAAATTTCTCCTCGAGTGTTGAAAAAATATTGCACGAGTGAGCGCAGCGAACAAGTGAAAAATTCTTCAACACAAGAGAAGAAATTTCGTATTCTAAGCGGCCATGTAATGTTCTATTCATTTTATAAACACCAATGAAATACCAAACCATTTCGCCTTAACATTTTTACTTAAGTCCTAGAGAAGACGAATGTGTCAGAACTAAAAATGGAACAAAGTAGAAAGCCTTTAAATACAAATTCCTCTTCTTTACAATTTAACAAAGAGCGATCCTAAAATATATATGACTCATAGAATTTTACATCTTTTACATTTCTTAAAATAGCTTCTGCGATACTATATGAACTTATGGTCATGCAAATAAAGCTCGTTGTTGTTGTAAAAGCTTGTGGCTGAAATGGTTATATTTTCCAGAATTTTTAACAGCACCGTGTATGGTGGTAAACAGTGGGTTACAAACTACTCTGTAAAACTATTTATTTAGATATTCTGCATTTGCAGATTCAAAAAGTATAGAATAGGCCAAAGAAATGCTAGTCCAACCCTTATAATCCTAACCTACCTCAGTAAATCTTACATGAAAGCTTGATTATCTTGCCTAAGAAGTTTAACTGTTCAGTTAAAAGACGTTGAGAATCTTGTTTCCACTTTCTTACTCTTTTTCTCAAGGTTGAGAAAAAAGCGTCATGGACAACATCTCGGAGATTCTACAGACCATTTATATTGGTGCATTCGTTGCAACTTTCCTTTTCAACACTGGAAGTATTATAAAAGCAGTAGACATCTTTAGCGAATGTTTGGTGCTCCTTAACGGTAAAGCCTTAGAGACAATCAAAGAACTTACCACACCACTTCTTATCTATGTATACTCTAAACTTCTTGATGGCTATACTCTTGTGTACGATCACACCCGTGCAATAGAATGTGGTAAAAAGCTTCTAGTGACACTACACAGTAGTGGCCAAAAAGAAGTAGAAGGGATGACATTACTTAAACTAGCGAACATCTACTATCAAAGAAGCAAATACGAGAAAGCAAAACAGTTTTACGAGAAGGCACTCAGCTTCATGATTGAGGCTGAAAATAATCGCGGAGTTGGAACATGTTACGGAAATCTAGGAATTGTGTTTCAATCTGTTGGTCAATATACCAAGGCTGAAGAATACCTTCAAAAAGCACTAGTGATCAGGAAAGAAATCGGTGACAAACAAGGAGAAGCAGCAGATCACGGAAATCTAGGAACTGTGTTTCTTTCTGTTGGTCAGTATACCAAGGCTGAAGAATACCTTGAAAAAGCACTTGTGATCAGGAAAGAAATTGGTGACAAAAAAGGCGAAGCATCTGCTTACGGAAATCTAGGAACTGTGTTTCAATCTGTTGGTCAATATACCAAGGCTGAAGAATACCTTCAAAAAGCACTAGTGATCAGAAAAGAAATCGGTGACAAACAAGGAGAAGCAGCAGATTACGGAAATCTAGGAATTGTGTTTCTTTCTGTTGGTAAATATACCAAGGCTGAAGAATACCTTCAAAAAGCACTAGTGATCAGGAAAATAATCGGTGACAAACAAGGAGAAGCATCTGCCTACGGTAATCTAGGAACTGTGTTTCAATCTGTTGGTCAATATACCAAGGCTGAAGAATACCTTCAAAAAGCACTTGGGATCAGGAAAGAAATCGGTGACAAAGTAGGAGAAGCATCCGATTACGGAAATCTAGGAACTGTGTTTAAATCTGTTGGTCAATATACCAAGGCTGAAGAATACCTTCAAAAAGCACTAGTGATCAGGAAAGAAATCGGTGACAAAGAAGGAGAAGCATCTGCTTACGGAAATCTAGGAATTGTGTTTCAATCTGTTGGTCAATATACCAAGGCAGAAGAATACCTTCAAAAAGCACTAATGATCAAACAAGAAATCGGCGACAAAGAAGGAGAAGCATCTGCCTACGGAAGTCTAGGAACTGTGTTTCAATCTGTTGGTCAATATACCAAGGCTGAAGAATACCTTCAAAAGGCGCTAGTGATCAAACAAGAAATCGGAGACAAAGCTGGTGTTGGAGCTTCATACTTAAATCTGGCAAAACTTTGTCCAGTATTTCAACTTACTGCAAAGAGTCGAGAATTTGCTAATAAAGCACTTCAGATAAGTTACGAAATAGGGGACATTGAAATGCAGTTTAACAGCCACCTTACCATTGCTCTGAACGAGTTAGTGGCAGGAGGAAGCATAACTAAACTTCTGCGAAATCTGCATGAAAGCATTCAGAAGTGCGAAGAAATGCATGATTTTTTAAGAGTGAAAGATCAATTCAAAATTTCTTTTTTTGATAAGCATGTGTCCCCTTACCTTCTTCTTTGTAGGTTGTTAATTACTACAGGCAGTTATTATGAAGCTCTTTACGTTGCCGAGCTTGGACGATCCAGAGCACTGACAGACGTACTTTCAGATAAGTACTCTGTGGAAAAAGGGGTATCAGTCAACCCACAGTCATGGATTGGTATTGAGAACATTATGAACAAAAATGCACTTAGTTCTTGTCTTTATGTTTCCTGTTTCGGTGGTAATATGTACTTTTGGATCCTCAAGCCAAACAAAATTATAGTTTTTCGACAAACGAGACTCAAAGAAAGTGCAGATAAAGTGTTTGGAAATAAGACATTTGGTGGCTCTCTTGATTTACGTCAAGACCAATGCGAAGATCGATCATTATTTGCATGTGTAAGTTCCCCGCTATCACGCAAACAATCTCCGAGTGACAGCTTCGAATCTTTGCGTCTTATCGAAGAAGAGGAAAACGAAAATCACGACTTCAAGCCTTCAACCCTTGCTGATGGTTACAACATGATAGTCGCTCCTGTAGCTGACTTACTCCAAGAATCAGAAATCATTATTATACCGGATAACCTGTTGTATCCTATTCCTTTTGCTGCTTTAAAGGATGGTGATGGAAAGTATTTATCGGATACTTTCAGGATTCGCATTGTCCCTTCCTTGACGACTCTTAAGTTGATTCAGCTCAGTCCAGCAGACTACCATAGTAAAACCGGTGCACTGATCGTAGGGGAGCCAGACGTTAGTGATGTATACTACCAAGGAAAAATTCTACAGTTAAACCCACCGCCTTGGGCGAGAAAGGAAGCAGAGATGATTGGGCGACTGCTCAGTGTTCAACCGTTGCTTGGAAAGGATGCAACTAAGCAGGCAGTCCTGGAAAGCATGCATTCAGTAAGTCTTATTCACTTCGCTGCTCATGGTGATGACGAACGTGGAGAAATAGCTCTTTCCCCTATAAGCTCCTGCAGAACTCCACACGAAGAAGACTACTTATTAAGGATGGCTGAAATTTCACAAGTTCGACTAACAGCCAAGCTGGTTGTCCTTAGCTGCTGTCATAGTGCAAGTGGTCAGATTAGAGCTGAGGGAGTTGTTGGAATCGCTCGAGCATTTCTAGCATCGGGTGCACGCGCCGTGCTAGCGGCGCTATGGGCTGTAGATGACAAAGCTACCATGTGGTTTATGAATTGTTTTTACGAGCACCTTGTTCGTGGTGAAAGTGCCAGTGAATGTCTTCATCGGGCCATGAAGTCACTGAGAGAGACTGGCTTTTCTGACGTCATGCAGTGGGCACCCTTTTTGCTGATTGGAGATAATGTGACATTCAAAGGTTTGTATTTGATATCATTTTTAGGTTTTTTAGTTATCTTAGTCAAAATTTGTGAAATTGATGTTCGTGACACTACGCATCATTTTGAAAAATATTATTTAGGGAGTTATACTGAGTTTTCGTAGTTTTTTATTTATTTATTGTCTTTTCCAACCCTGGTTATGGAAGTGAGGCATCTGGAGAGAAGGCCGAATTTAATTGTTTTCCGATTTTTACGGAATATTTCGTAAAGCGTGCTCGAATCTCTAACTAACTAAAATGAAAATGTAAAAACGATGTTTAAGATTCCGAAGAGCATACGAAAACAATTTATTAATATACCGTAAAATTCCGAAAATAATGCCAGGGGCTTATATTTTTCGAAGGTCCTTTTTGAGGGGCTTATTTTTGGAGGGGCTGATATTCGGAGGGGCTTATCTACGGAGGGAATTTGCGTTTCAAAATCGATTGGGTTAGCCTTATAGTTGGAAGTAAATTTACCGTTTTTGCTTTGTTTTACTTTGTATTTGAGGGCAATTTTCCAAGTACAAGCCCCCAGGGGCTTATATTTTGAGGGGCGATTTAACGGAGGGTTTTTTACGCTACCCGTTTGGGGGGCTTATTTTTGGAGGGGCTTATACATGGAGGGGCTTATTTTCGGAATTTTACGGTATCACAGAGAAGAAAAGTAAGTGTTAAAAACACTTTTTCTTGAGGGTGTACCTGATGAAAGAAAAAATGTAGCCTTTCACCGCTTCATTCCTACTATCTGAGAGCCTGGAACAGGCTAAAAAAGACGCTGCTAGTATTTTTAGTCTTAAAAAGATTCATCCTCAGGGAACCAGAGACAGCGAAGAGGGTATACGTACTAATTACCGGTGGACGAGAGTTTAAAAGCAGACGGAAAGATTCCCTGGATAGCATGGTTGGCTTGATATCAATCTCCTGTGTGAAGCTATAATCTGATCAGTATACAAACAGCGAACGAATCGAAGGAATTTGAAATAAAGTAAAATATTCTCACTGCATACATAATTGGCCGGTGACGCGGGAATTAAGTAACTCTTTTAAATTCCGTGGTGCTGGGCCTGCGCGCTCGTGGCATGATGCATTGCGGCCCTTGGTTAGAATTGCTTAGTTTTTGCCCGCCTCTTGGCTAGTTCAACGGGGTTCAGTGGAAGCGACTTAGAAGTTTCGCCCCTCCACCTCCCCTGGTGGCGGTTGACGTCGCTTACTCTCATTATTCGGCATGCCTATTGTCCTGGCAGTCGCGGCAGTCGTGGTTGCCTCCCTTAACTTAGTTCCCCGTGTCGGAACAATAGGTATGCAGTGCGAACATTATACGAATCACATTTAAGCTGAAATTTTTAGCATATAAATGATTCCTCAAAATGTAAAGGTTTTGTTATTTGTTTTGACTGTGCCAGATATTTAGGTAAAACATTTAGCGCAACGAGCAACAGAAGCATGTTGATCGATGGCTAAAATAAATCGTGTAAAGAATACTTACGGAAGGAAACCGTCATGATTAGTTTTTTTATTTGCATCGCAGGTGCATTTGATAAGAGCAGTTTGAAAGATGGCGAAGGTGCAACGGAAACAAAGAACTTGTAAACTGAGAGGAAACATGTTTAAGTTGACAACTACTGTCACAGCTGTACATAAATGTATATACCCAGGATCTCAATGAAGACGTCTTGTCTGAGACCGCAAAGTGAACAGGTGATAATTGTACTTTTTAAAGCAGGCGTCATTTTGATACGTTACAGGGGAAGGTGAAGCATGAGCTGAGCGTGGAGCACAAGGAAAAGGGATAGCCAGGACCAGCTAGTCGTCCTCATAGTGGAGACGTCAAAGTTGTATAGACCTTCTGAACCTACGTCTACTATGTTAGTCAGGGCTTCTTTCGTTCTACGTGACTTCTGCTACTCTCGTCAAGGCCTGCCCTTCAATTCACGCTTGCTTCAAATAAGCTCAATCACTTATATGTCTTACATCAACAAGAGTATTACTTTGGTTTGATAAACTTTGTAAATGTACTGATCTTGACAAACGTGATGAAATGCCAAATAGATATCTAAGTTATAATATGATTTTACTCAGTTAGTTATGTCACACCATCAATGGTCAAAGGCCTTGGATGAGGGCAAACAGGTGGACGTTGTTTTCCTGAACTTTGCAAAGGCTGTATTTCAATAGTAATTCGATGCTGGTATTTTTTATCGCTTGCGGGTGTCTTGTTTATGGTAAGAGTTTTGATATTTCGAAAATAATCTTGCGTGTAAAGTCATTCTTATGTTCGGAAAATAGCCTGCGTATGTTTTTGTCTCAAGCCAAGAACCGTGCAGAAAGAAGTAAGTTTTAGCAGAAAATGTGAAGAAAAACTTAATTGGCAATTAACCATGTATCAAGAGTTGCAATTGGAAAGTAATGGTAAAGAAAAACACTTGTTCGCCATGGAACGTGCAGAAAGAAAAAAGTTTTCGCAAAAAATGTCAAAAGAAACTACATTAGCAATTAATCATGCCACAAAAGTTACAGTTCGAAAGTCATCTTAAAAAAAAGTTTGCATCATTAATTTTGACCCTAATAACGCGCCATAGTCCATGACTTGCGTTATACAAAAAACATTCATTGCTTTTAAATCTTTGCTTTTTCGCGCCACAAACGCCGTACTCGCGCGATCCAGACCGGGCGCAACCTTCCTGACGTCCGTGACCTCAAGAACGTCCGCTGCTTTGATCACCAAAAAGTAACGAGAGACGACCGGAAATTCTCGGTTTTCACTCACGTGAGAAAGCAGAAATATAAATGGAAACCTTTTAATACAGAAAGTCTAGAATCTGGGAAATGAAAGAAGATAAATATTCAAAAAGCGTTGCCAAGAATCAGGTCTATGCAATCATATGCGAGATATTCGGAAAAACGTTTTACCCAAATTCATAAAGCTTTGTATGGAGACGCCACGTTTGTGTCCCTTCCAGTGGCACAAATATGGCCGCCGGAAACCAACGGAAACATCTGTTTTTAAGTTTTCCTACTTATTCGTGAATTCTTCGCTTGAGGAACTCGTAAAGAGTAAAGTAATATTCATTCTAAGACAAGGAATGTTTAGATAGCAAAATCTCCAAAAATCCGTAATGTTTTTAACCCACATAAGAGCTTTCCCGGCCGCGAGCTAAATGCAGCGTCACGCAAAAGCCTGGAAATTCAAGCGTCCTGTATCGCAAACCAAAGAACCCTTTTGAACCGAAAATTTTTTGGTATAAAGGTTTTAAGGTGCTCTAGTATCACATGAAAGTAGAAACTCAGAAGAAGCGAATTTTGGTGACGTCATGTAAAAACCAAGGATACGTCTGCGTTCAAAGTCTAGTTCAAATGAAACCTCCCCTTCTTTTGCCGTCTTTTTTCGCTGAATTTTAACCTCTCTGGACATTAACAAAAGAAATTTTTTTGTTTTTCTGAATTTTTAAGTTGGGCACTGTTAGGATTGATAAGGTTTTACTTCTGCGCAGAAAAGCGATGAATCCCCGCTATGAATGATGACCCAGGCATTAAAACACACAAATCATTTGCAAATGAACATTCGTTTGATGTTTCGCTGTGGCTATATGCCGGTAACCGGTCAAGGTTTCCAAAACACTAAATGGCCGGCAGTCCTACATTCTCAGGAAATTTCGCAAAATCGAAAGATTCCAGCTAATTTTAACTATCATATGTCGATTTAGAAAAGTCAAGCGATCCTGAAATGCTTTATAGATCTCAAGTCTAGTTGGGGGTCGATAAAACCAGGAACATGGAACATTCCGGAACATCCCGAAACATCCCGAAACATGAATAAATAAAAGTAATCGCCATCTTCAACTTGGCGGAGGAAAATAGGGGGCTGTGATCGAGCTTGAATTTCAGCCATCTCCTCGAGTCGTAAACTTCACTTGCGACTCGGGAGACGGATACAATTCTGGCTAACTGATGACCACTGCAATTGATTCACGGCGAATGTGAATCTTATCTACTAAAGTCCAAAGCGACGAGCCCCTAAGCTCTTCTTACGGTCGCAAAGCCGTAAATGAATAACCGTTAAACCGCATGGCAAACATTTACAAGGGGTGGGTGTGTGAGAAAAGCTTGAAAACCCCCCTCCTCGCGACCCATTTTAATATATTTTGAATTTAGAAGCAAACCTTCACTCATTACTGTCATTTCCATGGACCCTCGGCCCATAAATTACTGCGACAAAATATTGTTTTCTCATACTCGGAGATGATATGAGTTTCTTTTTCTTTATTTCTTTCTCTTTCGGTTTTTTGTTATTTTACGTTATTATTAATTTTTATGAAAATTATTTTATTATTTTTATTATTATTATTTTTATTATTTTTTTCCGTGAAAATTATTTTTCCATGTTCCGGGATTTTCCGGAATGTTCCATGTTCCATATTTTATCGACGCCCGTTTTGTGACACTCAGAACTTTTTTCAGCTCGACTGCCGGTCAAGGTTTTGAAAACACTAAATGGCCGGCAGTCCGATATTCTCAGTAAATTTCACAAAATCGTCGACAAGATAATGTTGAAGTGTATTTCAGCTCCAGAAGCAGCAGACCGAACTAACGCGTGGAGATTTTCCGCAAAAGCCGTATGAAAGGTCAAGATGGTATAACGTCAAACGTCGCCTGTCACGCCGTGCTTTGGACAGAAAACGGTAACGAACATCCATAGACTCGCGACCAACAAAAACATGATATAGAAATCCCACAAAACTGGCTGGTTTGATCAGGATCACGACATGTGATAGTTTAGATTAGCTGGAACTTTTCGATTTTGTGAAATTTACTGAGAATATAGGACTGCCGGCCATTTAGTGTTTTGAAAACCTTGACCGGCAGTCGAGCTGGAAAAAGTTCTAAGTGTCACAAAATATGGTTTCCTCCTCTGAGCCCAGCGTCAACCAAACGCTAGACTTGAGATCTGTAAAGCATTTCAGGATCGCTTGACTTTTCTAAATCGACATATGATAGTTGAAAT